CCCGCCACCTTAGGTGTATGTGGTTGGCGCCTTAGCCGCTTGAGCCACAGGCGCCAAGCTGGGTCACTTTTTGATTAAATGAACCAGCACTAGGTCTCTATCTTTGCAAGGAAATAAAGCATCATAACACCGTTAACTTTTCTTTTCCTTTTTTTTTTTTGAGGAAGTGTCACTTTCTCACCCTGGGTAGAGCGCCATGGTGTCACAGCTCACAGCAACCTCAAACTCTTGGGCTCGAGTGATTCTCTTGTCTTGGCCTCCCAAATAGCTGGGACTACAGGTGCCTGCCACAATGCCCAGCTCTTTTTTTGTTGCCATTGTCATTGTTGTTTTAGCTGGCCCAGACTGGGTTCAAACCTGCCAGCCTTGGTGTATGTGGCCGGTGTCCTACCCACTGAGTACAGGCGCCACCTATACACAGTTAACTAGTGTTTTTCTTGTATCTGATGTGATCAATTTTTCCTTAAATTTTTAGCAGAGCTGAAAGGAAATTGACAAGGTGTATTACGCTCATCTTGGGTTTAAAATCCAGGGAGTTTATGGAATGATGATTACCTAGCTTCAATTTAATAAGCTAGTCAACAGAAGTCAATGGTTTGAGGATAGGGGTTGGACCTTCATTGTTGTACCCCCAGGACCTGGAATAGTGCCTGGGACTTGCCAAGACTTTAGAAAATATTAATATTTGGTGAAAGAGTGAATGAAATCAATTTGACTCTGATTTCTGAAACAATGCTAATAAAAGTGGATACAATGCTCTCTCCCCCTCTCCCCACCTTTCTCCTCTGCTCTCTCTTCTCTTCCCCACTCTCTCCTTATCTCTCTCCCCTCTTTTCTCTCCTCTTATCTCTCCTCCTTGATTCTACTCTGCAGCCTCCCTCCCCCACCAATAAAGACCTTTGTACAAGCAAAAAAAAAAAAAAAAGTGGATACAATTTCAAAAATAGCATCCTGAAAATGAATTTCTTTTTCTCCATGTTTGGCCAAGGGCTACCTCCAGTATATGGGGCCAGCGCCCTACTCCTTTGAGTCACAGGTGCTGCCCCATGAAAATGAATTTCTATAAAGTCTTCCTTTACAAACAAAGGACTAGCTGGGCTCAGTGGTGCACAACTGTATACTCAGCTACTCAGGAGGCTGAGGCAGAAGGATTGCTTGAGCCTGGAGAGTTCCAGGCTGTGGTGGGCACAATCACACCTGTGAATTGCATTCTGGCCTGGGCAACATAGAGAGACCCTGTCTCTAAAAATAAATAAATGATGGCCTATTGCTTAGAAGTTAATTTGGGGGCAGTGTTAATTTTTAATTGTATATATTTATGTTTACCATATGATGTTTTGATATATGTATACATTATCAAATGGCTAAATAGAACTATTTCAAATGTGTTACTACATCACATACTTGTTTTTTTGTGGTGAGAACACTTAAAATCTACTCCTTTTTTTGAGACAGAGTAGAGTGCTGTGGCGTCATAGCTCACAGCAACCTTAAACTCTCAGGCTTAAAGAGATTCTCTTACCTCAGCCTCCCAAGTAGTTGGGACTATAGGCACCCACCACAGTGCCTGCTATTTTTTGGTTGCAATTTTCCTTGTTGTTTAGCAGGCCCAGGCTGGGCTCGAACCCACCACCTTCGGTGTATGTGGCCAGTGCCCTACTCACTGAGGTACAGGCTCCCAGCCTTAAAATCTATTCTTTTGGCTC